AACCTATGTTGAAGAAATTGCAAATATTTTACAACAGCTAGGTGCCGACGAGACTGCTGTGGCCAGTATTTTGGAACGCTGCCCAGAAGCAATTGTCTGCAGTCCAACCGCTGTTAACACCCAGAGAGGGATCTGGCAGCTGGTCTGCAAAAACGAGGAGGAGTTAGTCAAGTTAATACAACAGTTTCCAGAATCTTTCTTTACTGTTAAAGACCAGGAAAACCGGAAGCTGAACATTCAGTTCTTTCAAGAGTTGGGACTCAAAAATGTGGTCATTAGCAGATTTTTGACAACTGCATCTAATGTTTTTCATAACCCTGTTGAGAAGAATAAGCAAATGATAAGTATTCTCCAAGAGAGTTATCTAAATTTAGGTGGCTCTGAGGCCAACATGAAAGTTTGGCTACTAAAATTATTAAGCCAAAACCCATTCATTTTGTTAAATTCGTCTGTGGCTATAGGGGAAACACTAGAATTTCTCCAGGAGCAAGGTTTCACAAACTCTGAAATTCTCCAACTTGTGTCCAAACTCAAAGGATTTCTTTTTCAACTTTGCCCAAGAAATATACAGACCAGTATTTCCTTCTCTAAAAATGCTTTTAAATGCTCTGATCATGACCTGAAGCAACTAGTTTTGAAATGTCCTGCCCTTTTATATTATTCTGTTCCAGTTTTGAAAGAGAGGATTCAGGGATTATTAAAAGAAGGAATTTCCATAGCTCAGATACGAGAGACACCAATGGTTCTTGAATTAACGCCACAGATAGTACAGTACAGGATAAGGAAACTGAATTCCTTAGGCTATAGAATAAAGGATGGACATCTAGCAAATCTAAATGGAACGAGAAAAGAGTTTGAAGCTAGCTTTGATAAAATTCAGGCCAAAAAAGGAAGGCCATTATTTAACCCTGTGGCGCCATTAAATGTTGAAGAGTAGCTTGCTGACGGATGCTGCATTCTAGCAGTGCAGAGTGAAACTGAGCAGCAAAGACTTAAGTGACTCAGGAGGTTTGTAGGCACCAGTAATTTTAAGAACCTACTTAGCTTCTGAATTGTATTTGTTACCTCTAAGTAGATAATCTAACTCATTTGCTATATTTTAGAATATAAATTGCAATTATTTTAAATAAAGAAAGTTGGTAATTTTGACCTTGAGGTATTATTTTCTAAGAAACGGACAAGTGCAGTCCCTTAATTCAAAGTATGGCTCCGTTTTATTCAGATAACACATTTCATCTGGGATGCCGATCCAGCCTTCTTTCTCCCTGCGAGCTCTGAAACCTCACTCTACTGTGGTCTGAATTCTGTGGCTTAGTGTTCAGTGAAACATTAGCAAACTTCTAATACATTCTTCTAAAGCTGATTTCATCTCCTGGTTGGAATAAAAGAATCTGTGAGAACCAAGTATTACTCATCCAACAAGAATAATTAGAGCTTATTTGTGTGGTCAGTTTGTTTAAAAGGCACGATTTTATCTCCTGAAACATTTTTATGTGGATTTATTACTTTCCCCGTCTTACAGGTGAGGAAACTGGAGCTGAGAGGCCACTCAGCTGCTGATGACAGAGCCTAGATTTACTAAGATCTGACTTCTGTTCAAACCTTGTGAATAGAAAAAGGATTGCTTATGAGTTGGCATGAGAAAAGTCTCCCCTACCTGACATGCCAAGAGTGAGTACCAACTACAAATTTAGGGATTTTTATGAAAACTTATGTAAAATTCCTTAAATTTGAAATGATTTAATTCATATACACTGGAAGTAAATGCAGCTTTTTAGAAAACTTTCTGAAAATCCAGGCCCATAAAAGGGCAAATGTGTGATGGTTGGTACTGATTTTAGTAGCATTTCAAGTTTCTAAGTCTTGTTCCAAGATAAACATTATCCAGATAAAGACTGGCTTACTTTCAGCTGTGGAGTTTGAACTTTGTAACAAATACACAACCACAATTGATTCTGACACTCAGACATCTGTGCACTATGTGTGCATGGCCTTTTCTTAAGTGATGAAAAAATTATGAAAAATGCAGGGCATGTCTTCACTCTGTTCAGCAAATGCAAGTAACCCTCACTATCCAGATCTGTTCTGTTCCTTAGGGTAGTAAAAGATACCTCTCTCCATGCAGCATCTACCAAGTGCCAGGCACGTTGTGCTTTATAACCCTTAGAGTTGAGTACCATTGTTTACTGTTCTACAGATGAGACTCGGGCACAGAGAAGGTAGGTCACTTACTCAAGGTCACATGGGAATGTTTGTTTAAGAATGGCAGCCAGTACAGTTGGGGCAGGACTGAGTGATGGGGAGAGTGGCACAAGATGAGGTGAGCATCACAGGTCCATCTAAGGAGCAGGATCTCATTTTAAGTGTGATCGGAAAGCCTTGGAGACATTTCAGTTTATGCTTGTTGTCCTGACATAATTATCCGTGCTGTTCTCTTTCTGAAAAGCGCCTCAGTTTAGAATAGATTATGTGTTATATGGTCACTTTATTAGCTCTACTTTAGATGTCAATTTTGAGATGCTCACTAGATATCTGAATAGAAATGTCAAACAGGCAAATGGTGAAGTCTGGAGTTAGAAATCAGGACTGGAAATAGATATTCGGGGATCATCTGCATAAGTATGGTATTCAAAGCTATGGCTCTAGATGAGATTGCCCAGAAACAGAGTATAGATTTGTGGTAGTGGCTGGTCAAGCCTGGAAAGGATTGACCAGAGGAAGAAGTCTATCAAGAAAAGAGGGCATGGTCAATAATACCGAATGCCATTGAGAGGTCAACTAAGATACAGAGAAGTGACCAATGGCACTTCTTGGCAAAAAGGAAATCATTAGTGTTGGCCCTGTCAAGAGTGATTCTGGTGAAATGAGAAAGGTAAGGCGGCAACTGGAGTGGACTGAGAGAATAAGAGATGAGGAAGAGGCAGAGACTATAAATTTCTTCAAGAAATTTTATGGCAAAGGGTAGCAGAAAATGGAAGTTGTGAGATGAATTTTTCTTTACATAATTTTTCTTTAAAGAAAACACATACTGCATCATGTTTATATGCTGATGGGTATGACCCAGGAGAGAGACAGATGAGGGATGGAAAGACTGCAGGATTACTAGCTTTGAGGAAGTGAAGGTGGGCTGACTTCGGATAAGGGCAGAGATACTAGTCCTGGTCCACAGAGCATGAGAACAGATGCAGGCGGGTGGGTGGAATGGGCAGTGTGAGAGGTAGCAGAGTTGCTGTCTGGTCGCCTCTTTTTCACAGAGGAGGACAGCAGAATGGGAGGAGGGGAGTAGATGGGACTGGAAAGAGGAGGTGTGAAACAATCCTTCTGAGGAGTAGGAAAGTGAACTTACAAGAGGGTATGTAAGAAAGCTCGGCAGAGTTGAGTGGTCATGTATGCTTTGTGGCCAATAATTTACAAAGAGCCTAGTCAGGGGGCTGGCCCTGTGGTGTAGTGGTGAAGTTTGGCACACTCCACTTAAGTGGCCCGGGTTCACAGGTTTGGATCCCAGGCACGAACCTACTCCACTCGTCAGCCATGCTGTGGCAGTGACCCAGATATAAAGAGGAGGAAGACTGGCATGAATGTTAGCTGAGGGCTAATCTTCCTCAAGGGAAAAATAAAAGCCTAGTCAGAACAGCAGAAAAATTTGGGTGCTCAGGCCCAGGCACAAAGAACCAGAGGCAATTACAGTTATAGAAATGCATTTGTAGCTTACTCTAACTTGAAAAGATTTAAAAACAAAATCTACATTCATGGTCAAACAAGCAGTATACTGACTTTGTTTCCCCTTTAGACCAAATCCTATTCCATTATTTTTTAGCCTTGAACCTCTGCCTTTTTTCATTCTTGCATTCTTACTCAGATCTTCCTATAAATAAAATGTAAAATATTCAAAATCAACAACATAGCAAGGGGAGATATCCTTACATAAAACACTAGAGTCAAATTTTATTTCCTCTGTAAAAAAAAAAAGGCCTCTAATAAAATTATTTCCTTTAAACCATTTATGTATAATCACTCAATTCACTTCTGTGGCAGAATGTAATTAGCTGCCAAAGTAAATGACGACCTGGAAGACTTCCAGTGAGCTCAGGTTGCACAGCCTGGTGAATCCAGCACACAGGCAGCACCGAATGCCAACAGCAGAATGAAGGACTAGTTCTTGAGTAGCCCCATTTCTGTTTCTGGACATAAGCTGAAGAAGTTGTGACTTACACTAATTCAAAACTGATGTGAGAAATTCAACTAATGTTAGCCTGCTCCATATTTATAAAAAAGGGAATAAAGAATACTTCCCTCATAAGATCCTCAGACTGATTCAATCAGATAAGGCATGGACAGTTCCTGGCAGGTAAGGAGATGCCCAGTAAATATCAATTTTCTACCTACCTACAACTGGTTCCCATCCCTCTGAGTCATTTCTGTCCAGTGAGAGACCTAAGGTGGTTCCACTGCCACTTAGGACAGAAGGAAGTACTCCCTACTTTATAATTCCTCCATCAGTTCCCAAATTTCAGAATGCACAAGAATCGCCTGCAGAGGTTGCTAAACTGCAGTCGTAGGCTCCACCATGCAGAAATTCAGCAAGGTGGAGTAAACCTTAGAAATCTGCATTTTTTTTTTTTTTTGAGGAAGACTGGCCCTGAGCTAACATCCATGCCCACGTTCCTCTATTTTATATGTGGGATGCCTGCCACACCATGGCTTGATAAGTGGTGCATAGGTCCACACCTGGGATCCGAACTGGCGAACCCCAGGCTGCCGAAGTGGAGCGCACAAACTCAACAGCTGCACCACTGGGCCAGCCCCGAAATCTGCATTTTTATCTTTATTATATATTTTGTATTATATACATTATTAGGGTTGTTTAAAATACATTTGTACTTCATTGTGTTGGCATCAAAATACATATTAGAGGTTTGATGTTTGTGCATTAGTATCAAAAAAATATAAAAATTGGCTATAGTACTTTCTGAACTGCTATGTAACTAAAAAGACTACCCTATTTTAAAATTTCCTTTATTTCCTTAGATCTTTATGAAACATTTCATCTTTTGCAGATCATAGTGCTTTATTAACAGATTCATGTATTCTTTTCCCATTCTTTTAATACAAAAAAAATTTATTCAATCATCAGTTCTTTCCCTCTGACATTTCACTAAGTACAGGATTCATAATGTCCACATTATTAGGTCAGTCCTTCAAGTGAGTCACAACTTTATCCTCGTGCCGAACACCCACTCAAAGGGTCAAATGAATAACAGGTGCCTCCAGGTGTATACAAACCACCGTAGTTTCTTGAAGTGAACTAGTACTGTTTTACAAGTCAAACTGCTAGTCTATGAAAATAAACTGGAAAAGACTCAAGTGTACAGCTGTGGATATCATCAAAGGGCAAGTTCATTTCAACAAGAACCTCTGACTAACTGATCATTTGTACAGTTCTCTGCTATCATTGCAAGAGCCTCTCCTGAACAAAGTTAGAGTTTGGAATTTAAAACAAACTTTATGAGATAAAATGTTCCAGGTGGCTTTTCTGTAGCAGAAATTAATTACAACCATTTTTCCTCAGCAATTTTAAAGACAAGCAAACTTGAAAATAAATATGCAAGCATACAGTGAAGTCTATATGTAGAAATTCAGGTACAAAGCACAGCAGAGCCCATGACTACAGAAGACAAATTAGAAATATAAACTAGCAGTGAAGAGTTTCTTTCAAATAGCAGGAAACAAGTTCTCCAATTCCATTATTTAGTTCATTATTTAGTGTTCATCTATTAATTCTGGAGTTTTTAAAAAAAAAAAAAACCTTTGCTAATTATGACATTTGACCAGATATACCAAAAAATATACCTTAAATCATACTGCATGAAATAATCATTTATTTGTGATGAACTCCTTAACAACTCTGAAGTTTTATGTACAACAGCGAGGTTCAAGAACCTTTGTAGATTTGCTTAAAATCCCTGCTGGTGTTTATGAAAGCTTTTAAAAGATAAGTTAAGTGATATTCTTATCCATTTGTTGATCCACATCATTAATGTAAAACTCTCAGTGCTTTAGAGACATTTTATTTAAGCCTTGGGTATTAAAGTGATATATTTTAAGCTCTCAGGGATGTTATTTTGATTTATTTATCCAGAGCATCACCTCCTTTCCTCCTCTCCCGCGCAAAAAAAAAGTCTGCGGAATGGAGGCAAATTTCCAGACTTATAGAAAACTAAGGTTTTTCAGACTTGGATTATAACCCTTAGTTAAGAGGAATGCCAAATAGATATGCAACTTTTTAAGTGTTTATGAAACTGAACATGAAACAAAAAACAAATAGATGAATTCCAGCTAGGCTGTATTCTTTGAGAATGACTGAGACATGATGAGACGTGTTAGTGAGACGTGACACACTTGGCGTCCATAATCAGAAACTTCAATGCCCTGCCTGCAGTGGACCTGGAAGCTAGTGCAAAGTCTACAGCTCCTTTAAAGGACTGCAGGATACCATGTTTGAAAAGCCTATAAACCACTGAAAACACTTAGATATATTTTCAAAACTAATCTATGGAGCCCATTTCATTCAGTTTAAAAGTCAGCCCTCACATATTTGTGTTTGCTTTTACTGTGTTTTTTGAAAAGGGGCACTGCTAGTATAAGCCATCTTAGAAATAAAATAGGTATGAAGAACTCTTTTTATATCTTGGATGCTTTAGGTAATTCTCAAGAACATTTATTTATTTGCTCCTCCTTAATAGGAAACTCTTCCAACATAGCTTCTGACCAGCAAAGAAATGTTCTTAGGCACCGTGAGGTGAATTAACGATGGAGCAGGAGCACAGGCTGAAGCGTATGATTTGGTTATAACTACTAACAGTTAACAAAAAGTTACCGAGCACTGTCTTATCTGCTGAGAGCAAGAAATGCCTTTACCCCACTACTCCTGAGATTCTTAAAAGGGAAAACTAATTTCACAAACAACTTTTAAAAGAATGCATATATAAGAACTGCACATATTTAGGGTATTAAAAAAGACGTTTTCTTTTGTAAGGCATCAATGATTAAATTAATACAATGCATATCTAACAGAAGATGGTTAACACTCAGCATCATAAAACGATTTATCTTTTCTTTTAAACTTCTCTAATTCCTGCTACTTTTACCAGCTTAAATAACAAGAAGAATGCCTCTTGGCCTAATCAACTATGGTTATAAAAAACCTAAGACATCTGAAACTATTAGGCACATCAAAGGTACAGTTTATGTAATTCAAGGTTCCCTTCTTAAGGGGCAGATGAGTCACCTGGCACATTATACATATGGAACTTACTGTAAAGATCATCCACTAAATTCAACTTTCACATTTTTAGTTAAACTGAAAGACTTATAGTAAATATTCAAATATACTGATCTTCAGTTACAACTGAATAAGTAACATTTTACCAGATAAAAAGCTGGACTTTAAGTATGAGAAACCTTCATACACTGTGCTAGTATTGGTCTCTTCTTTTTAGACGAAAGCCAGTCATCAATACTTTGAACACAGCAGTTTAAAAGATGAATGTCCAAAACAGGTGACTTGGTTGTAGTCCATAATTTACCAATTCAATGCCACTGGCATCATAATGCTGTGGAGAGCAAGTGTATCTCCATGTTTTAGTCAGATTTGTCTTTCTTCTTTCCTGTTAAGGGCACTTTGTTTACAACAGCAGACCCAACAGCTGTAACACCTCCAGCCACGGCAGACACGCCCCCTTTCACCAGCCCTATTCCCATGGAAGGCACAGTTGTAACAGCCGTTTTGGTCACCTCCAGACTCTTTCCACCAATCCAAGCCACACCACCAATGGTAGCACCAACAGCTCCCTTTGTAACACTGAAGATACCCCCAGTCACACGGGACAACATGCCTGGTTGCTGCTGTGGGTGATCTTTCATTGAACCTAATGAGAAAAAATATCATGAGATGGCCAAACATACGTCTTTAAAAGAGCAGTACAAATCACTAAGTTACCTGAGACTTCCCAACACTCAGGAGGTCGTTTGATAAGGCCACACAAATATAAATCTAATGAAGACAAAGAAGAACAAGGCTATACTTGTACATGTTTTTAAAATATCTTGGCCCAATGCTGAGTTGTAGTATCTTTGAGAAGAAATGCTTTAGAGACTAGACAACTTTCATAAAATAGAATCAATGTTTCCTTGATTTATGGTTTTGTTGCTGCTAATAAATAATCCTTATTTTATATCCTAAAAGGAGCATGAAAAAATTAAAAAACATATTTAGCCTTCATTTCCTTGACAGAATTCAGTCATTACTGAAACAGCCTTCTTCATTTAAAGCAGTGTTTCTCAAGGCAGGGGCTAGGACCCCTGGGTATCCCCAAGACCATTTCAGGGGATCTGCGGGGTAAAAACTATTTTTATAATAATACTAACATGTCATTTGTCTTTTTACTTTTCATTCTGTCACGTGTCTTCAGAATTTTCCAGAAGCTAAATGACGTGCAGTAACATCAGAGACTAAACACAGAAGCAGCTGTAAGAATCTAGTTGTCTTCTGTTAATCACAACATTAAAGAAATTTGCAAAAATTTAAAAACAATGTCACTCTGCTCACAAATTTTTTTTTTGTTTTGGAAAACAGGTGCTTTCCAAAAAATATGCTAATCATGTTAATATGTAACAGGTTTACTGGGTCCTTTTAATGAATAAAATAATCTCTCAGTTTTTGTTAATACAGTAAATATCAAAGGACATAAGCTCTCTGGGGTCCTCAATTTTTGCGGGAGGCAGGGAGACTGGCCCTGAACTAACATCTGTTGCCAATCTTCCTCTTTTTGCTTGAAGAAGATTGTCCCTGAGCTAACATCTGTGCCAGTCTTCCTCCACTTTGCAGGTGGGATGCCACCACAGCATGGCTTGATAAGCGATGTATAGGTCCGCACCCAGGATATGAACCCTTGAACCCTGGGCCACCAAAGTGGAGTGCACACACTTAACCACTACACCACCAGGCCGGCCCCAGGGTCCTCAATTTTTGAAAGCAGAAAAGCATCCTGAGACCAAAAAGTTTGAGAACTGCTAATTTAAATATATTTGAGTTTCTGCTCTATGTGCTCCTTAATAATGTATTTAAAGAGCTAATGCTATGTAAAAGTAGAAAATTATTCGCTTAAAATCATGTTACCTACCTAAAATCATTTTTGTAGTGTTGAGAAATTACAGCTATGGTTAATACTCAGTAATTCTTATAGAAGAATATGTAATTTAAGTATCTAGTTTGTAAAAACTCGTCAAACACTCCCAGAAATGGTAAAATCAATATGCAAAAGTCAGGGGCCAGCCTAGTGGCACAGAGGTTAAGGTTGTGACCTCCACTTTGGTGGCCTGGGGTTCACCAGTTCGCATCCCAGGAGTGGACACAGCACCACCCTTCAATTGCTCCTGTGGAGGCATCCCACATAAAGTAGAGGAAGACTGGTACAGATGTTAGCTTAGCAAAAATCTTCCTCAAGCAAAAAGAGGAAGAGTGGCAATGGATATTAGCTCAAGGCCAATCTTCCTCACCAAAAAAAAAAAAAAAGAAAGAAAGAAAGAAAAAGAAAAAGTCAGATTTAAGTCATGAGTTTGCTTTGTTTTTTTTTAATAGAGCCACTCAAATTGGCATGAAACCTCAAACTCAAGCATAAAATGACTAGCAGAAAGATTTCATAAAAATTTGCTTATGCCAGCCTCAAACGAACACCCAGGTCTTTTCTCCTTTGTAATCTAATGATTTAGGCAGCAACAACACATAAGCAAGGGTATTTTTATTTTTCTAAACTTCATGGAAAAATACTTGGTAACTATACAATTCAGGCTTTAATCACTAAAAAGGTACAATCTCACATAAAGAAAGGTAAATTCTTGGGTAGGTAAGTCCAACCAAGATAACCAAAGACTAAATCCTAGCAGAAGGTGGCTATTAAGGAAAGACAACATTGGGAAACTGACAATATTTGAAGGAGAAAACAATTTTGAAAATCAGGCTTTTCTAATACACAAGGCACAAATTTACCCTGAGATAGATCTTCTTTTCATTGTTTGGAGGTTGTCATCCTACTACAAGTAAGAAAATCTCATCGATTAGTCAAAATAGTTCACAAAGATATAGCAATGGCTAAATTTATTTTTTAAAAGTCAAATTTTTATTGAAACTGAGTACTAAGCAGAGTTAATATATATTTTTAAGTAGCTGAAATAAATGACTTAGATATGCATTTGAACATATTAATTATAAAATTATGATGGAAAGGGTTACATAATTGGTAATTCTTTTGTAATCTAGTTCAGTAACACTAAGAAAAAGGGGAAAATCCTGATTTGAGTATAAGATAGATAACTGCCTCATGCTGAATAGCTCATTAGTATTATCCTGCTATGCCAAATTTGGTGCACACGCATTTAATGAAGACAATTTTCTTAGTCAAATCAGATAAATATTAATGCTGCTGATCTCTTTAATTACAGTGTGCTCTTAATTACCACCATATAAGTTATCTGCTTTGCAGACTACTCTTGTTTAGCAGGTTGCCATATAAGGACAGGAAATTCCTGAAGCTTGTTCTCTTCCTTGACAGTCATGCTCCTAGATGGCCTTTCTCTATCTCCTTCCTGACTCCTTTCTCAGAGAGTCCTTATTAACTTTCTCATTGAGCCCAAACTTTTCTTTTCAAAATTCTAGCGTTCTAGTCCTAAAAAATAAAACAAGGATAACAGCTAAGCTAGTAATTTTCCAGGCTATTCCTCCAACAAACTAAACTAAACTAAACTAAAACTAATCAGCCAGTTACCTCCATCATCGTTTAGGCTTAAGTATGAACTTTTCATTGTGTTTATTTTCCTAGCAATTTCATTTTTGTCTACCAACATAAGAAATACAGGAAGAAAGTTCTGGAGAGTGGCTAACAGAGCTGGGAAGAAAATCCAATACCTAGAGTCACAGCTTCCAGCCCCAGCCTCTTCCCAGAGACATTCTAGTCTGTGCTACTCCAGGCTGGTCTGTTGGCCACTTCATCCCTTTTTCTTCAATTTGATTCTCTTTCTTACCTAGTATGACTGTCCTGTACAAACATGCAGTTATCCAAAGAGATCATTATTTGGATTAAGCTTAATTATATTCTGTGCCAAAACCATTAAAAAATGCCTGTAATCATTTTCTGTATATAGTGAGGACATTCAGGTATGCAGTTAGTGTTTCCATGGGTTTTTACAGTCAAAGAACGAATAAAATGATTCATGATTTCACAATTTTCAAACTAAAAGAGAATTTAAATTAAGCAGACTCTAAGACTATGTATTAATACAGGGAGAGAGAGCTACCAATTATAATGTAATGATTAATAGGAGTTTAACAACAAATCTCAAGTACCTCTTGAATTGAGTTTTTGTATGCATGACATCAAAACTAAACATTATCCATCCTTCCTCTGCACCCTACCCCAACTCTTTACGAATGAAAGGATACTCTGACTTGTGAAACGGCCTTAAAAGAATAAAAGAGTAACAGAAAAATAGATCTTATATAATAGAACAGTTACATTGTGTCTCTACTCACCAATATGTCTTTTCTTATTAGAGGATAAAAATGTTTATCTTCAATTACTTTGGGAGCGTATTTACTGACAAGGTAAACAGGTTATGTTATTTTAAATTTAATAAACAAAATCAGCTTTAATTCACTAGGATTTTTTTTCCATTCTTAGTGTTACAGAAGCACACATACCTTCTGGTGGTTCGTCACTAAGGTATGATGGGATTTCTTGTTGATTTTTATCTGCTTGATTCATGATCTCCTAAAAAACACACACACATTTCATTTTAACTTCAACTTATCACGTGTTCAATTAAGACAATCAGCTTTATTCAGATAAACAACATTTTACAACACCCATCACAAGACATCCTACTTTGTGGTGTTTAAGAAATATTTTTGTTATTTTTATTATTTACTAGTGGACAATAAAAATCTTATCTCAAACACCAACCAGGGGCCAGCCTGGGGGCATAGTGGCTGAGTTCATGCACTCCGCTTCAGCGGCATGGGGTTCGCCGGATCAGACCCTGGGCACAGACCTACGCACCACTTGGCAAGCCATGCTGTGGCAGGTGTCCCACACATAAAGTAGAGGAAGATGGGCACAGATGTTAGCTCAGGGCCAACCTTCCTCAGCAAAAAGAAGATTGGCAGCAGATGTTAGCTCAGGGCTAATCTTCCTCAAAACAACGACAACAAAGAAAAACATCAACCAAAGAGTGGTAGCCACAGTACTGTAAAGCTGTCCTATGTTGGTACTGCTGCTTCAACTTAAACTGAAAATTACCAATTGAAAGAGAGTTGGAAGGTGAAGGTTAACAGACAGAAACATTAGGTGCTTCCTCCTACAAAATATTGGTTAACAATAATTTATTTCATAACAGCCTTAAAGAAAAAACCATATTATGACTAAAAAAAAGTTCTATCTAAAAAATTTCTAAAAAGCATGACAACCTTCTCTTCTAAAGATAACACCACCAATCTGAGTCACTAAGAGATGGCTCTTGATTACTTTTTTATTGCTGTTTTTAGAGCTCTTATAAACAGAATTCAAAATGTACTACAAAAACATATATATATACTGTAATTACCTCTAAGTACAAGTAGTAAGGAACATAAAAAATAAAATAAGCTGTGCTGGGATAAAGAAAACACAGTTGAACTTTCTTTTCCCAATTTCCTTTACTATCTTAAAATGCTTTCATATTCACTTGACTAAGTAAAGATTAAACCAAGTCAAGACTGGTCTAAAAGATTTCTTACTTGGCCAGAAAACAAGGGCTGTCATCCTAGCAGTCAACTAAGTATTTCCTAGTCATAAAACCAGGGAGCCTAAATTATTTTATCTGTACATATACAATACAGATTTAAAAGGGTATTATGAAATCATGCCATTTGTGACAATATGGATGAACTCTGAGGGCATTATGCTAAGTGAAATAAGTCAGAGAAAGGCAAAGTATGATCTCACTTACATGTAGACTCTAAAAAAGCTGAACTCAGAGAAACAGTAGATTGGTGGTGGCTGGGGGCTGGGAGAAATGAGGAGATGTTGGTCAAAGAGTACAAACTTCCAGTTATCAGGGTTCTGGAATCTAATGTATAGCATGGTGACTATAGTTAACACTGTATTGTATACTTGAAAGTTGCTGAAACAATGGGTCTTAAAATGTTCTCACCATAACAACAACAACAGTAATTATGTGAGGTGAGGATATATAACCTTATTGCGGTAAACATTTCACAATATATATGTGTATCAAATCATCACAATGTACACCTTAAACTTACACAATGCTAAATGTCAATTATATCTTAATAAAGCTGGGGGGAAAAGGATATTGTGAAAACTAACAATGTACTTCAATACACTGATTAACAAATATTGACTGATTGATTAACAAATATTGGCACCTCCTATGGGCGAGGCAATATTTTACGTGCACAGGATATAGCAGTGATCAACAGACCAAAAAATCTCTGCCACCATGAAATGGACACTCTAGTGGGGGAAGACAATAAATAAGTATATGAAGAATACACTGTATGTCAGATGGTATTAAATGCTATAGAGAAAAAGGGATGGAGGGGGAGAGAATGTGATATTTCAAATAGGACAGTCTGTAAAGGCCTTGTTGTGGTGATATCCCAAAGGAAGTAAGGATACAAGATATTTGGGTGAAGAGTCCTCAATGCAGAAAAAACAGCAAGAGCAAAGGTCCTGAGATGGGAGTTTACCAGGAGCAGCAAGAAGAAACAGCCAGAAAAGTGTGGCATGGGCAGCATGAAAAGGCAGCAGGAGAGGAAGTCAAAGAGTGAGGCATGGATGGCATAGGCCCTTAGAGGCCATGGTAGTGTTTAGCTTTTAACTCTGAATAAGATGGGGAGCAGTGAAAGGCATTGAACAGACTAGTGACATGTTCTGATTTATACTTTCAAAAGATCATTCTGGCTGTCATGGGGAGAAGCAGCAAGACGAAAGCAAGAATAAAGGCAGAAGACCTGTTAGGAGACTTTGCAGTACATTCTCAAGGTTCATACATAGCGTAGCAGGTCTCAGAACAAACTGGTTAATTTTAAGTAGTCAAAGGAATGTCAGGAAAGCTTTCCTTTCCTTTATGATTCTCACTGCTTTTAAGCACCAAGTGATCAGATAAAACTTCATCCATATTTCCTTCTGTATTTCAATAATCCAAGCAAAAAATGTTGATGGCTAGAATGAGGGTGGTAGAGCTAGTGGTGGTGAGAAGTAGGATTTTTCAAAGGTGATTCTAATTTCATGCAATTCATCCTGCAGTACCTTTAAAACCTATACCCTGCATAAGATGGGGCTTCACCCCAGAGTCCAGCAGCACACATCATGTGCTTAATTAAGTATCTTTTAGTTGCTCCAGTGAAAACCCCGATTTAGGCCACTTATCAAGAGCACCTAATCTTATGCTAGTCTAGTTTGTGAATTAAGCAAATCATCCCACACACACTTAGAATTTAAAAAGGAATAGTAAAGACACATAATCTGACAAAAAAAATAAATGAAAAGAATATCAGCTGATGCATTACTGGGAGGAGTTCTTGGCTGATTTGCCTTAATTTTAAAACTCCCTTAAACTAGAAAGTTAAATTTATTTCCACTCATATTTATAGTTCTTTAATTTATTATGGTAGCTCTGAGATCAGAGAGCCTGAGTTTGAGTCCCAACTGCACCATAAACTGTGTGGCTGAGGACAAATAACTTCATCAGATCCTTGCTGTTCAGGAGAGATAAAGTAGAAATTAAAGATATTCTAGCCCTAACTCTAAGATGAGAATACTATTAACAAATTCAAACAAAACATGCAGAAATTCCTGGCAGAATACGTGTCTTCCTTCCTGAAGAATATAATTGTTTTGGAGCCACTTTCTTCCCCACTGGCCTGCTAAGTCCAAGAGGAGAGACACTTGGTCTAGCTTATTCATCACTGCGATCCCAGGATCTGTATACCATACACATATAAACCCGGCGGATCACCAGGCTGACCAACTAATCAATAGATGCCACCACACCCTTACAGAATTATGGGGAAATTATGTATACATATACATCTTACATATTTTAGCTGGAGTTTAAAAACAGGTATGATAGATGGCAACTAGACTTTTGGTGGTGAACACGATGCAGTCTACACAGAAACTGAAATACAATGATGTACTCCTGAAATTTATATAATGTTATAAACCAATGTGACCTCAAAAAAAAAAAAAAGAAAAAACAAACAGGTATGATAGTAACTGTTATGTATTTCAAAACTGCCCTTCTGTATATATCCCACAAATTCCTACTGAAAGTTTTAACTTTTCCTTCTAATATGGAATCCCTTAACAAAATTCTTAATTTTTCCACATATATCTATCTTGTAATTTAAAAAAGAAAAAGACCACCATTTAAAAATACTGGAGCTGCTTTATACTATGACAGCATAAAAGACATATGCAAATTCATGTAAATAATATGAACTGACTTTATCCTCCTCTGGATAGGCAATGAGGAGCCATGAGCAGAGTAACATTGTCAGATCTGTGCTTTAAGAAGCTAAATGAAGCAAGAACAGATAGGACAGAGATATTAAATACAGTAGGTGGCTACTTTAATAGTCCAGGAAGATGGACTAACAATCTGAACTCTGCCAGTTTTTCCCTGTCTAAACAAACGTTTGGGCCAAAAACCTAAGTCACCCTTGATTTCCTTTTTTTTTACATTCTCATCTAATCAGTAAATTCTGTTGCCTAAATAAATCCAGAATACGGTCATTTCTCATCACCTCTACTGCTACCACTTTTGACTAAGCCCCTGTAATTTCTTACTTGTACTACTACAGATCTCTTCCTTGGTCTCTGAGCTTCCACTTTGCTCCTCCTTCAGTCTAGCCATGCCATACTTTGCTTAAAACCCTCCAACTGCTTCCTATTTTGCTCAGGATAAAATCCAGAGTCCTTCCCTTTGCCTTTGAGGCCCCACATCTAACACTGTGACATCATCTCCTACCATTCATTCTGCCTCTTGCTCATTCCAGTCTAGCAACTCAGGCTTCCTTGCTCATCCTCTCCTGAAAGGCTCTTCCCCAAGACATGTACTTGGCTTTCTTCCTTACTTCCTTCAGGTCTTTGTGCAAATATTCCCTTATCAGAGGTCTTCTCTGACCACCTGTAATAGATTAGCACCCTCCTACTCCTCTCCCCATCATTTTCACCTAACCCTGCTCTATTTTCTTCATTGCTCTTATTGCCACTTGATGTATATATCTGTTTACTTTGTGTCTCTCTCAATTAGAATGTAAGCTCCCTGAGAACAAGGCTTGGTTTTGTTCACTGCTCCATCCTCACAGCCTTAATCAATGCCTGATGTATGGTGGGCACTCAAATTCTTGAATTTTTTATATGAAGTAGAACATAACTTGGGTATTAATGTGAGATAAAAGGAGAATACAGGATGTAAAATTTCTAGTGTGAGCAACTAAGTAGACAGAGATGATGATGAAAACAGGGGCAAGAGAGGAGAAACCACTTCTGAGAGAAGATAAAGGACTTCTTGTTTATGTGTGGTAAAAACGCATGAGATCTACCCTCTAACATGTAACTGTACAATACATTATTGCTGACTGCAGGTACCCTGAAAGGACCTGTCTTTGAACAGCTGTATTTGAGATAGCTTCAGGGCATCTACAGGAGATGTTTAGCGGGCTTGGGATTTAAAAGGGGCCTGAAACTCAGCATTAAGTCTGAGTTAGAGTTGAGGTCCTGAAAGTGGTTTCAAGCGAGGGCTGCAGCTGTAGGGGGTAATATGATCAAGGAAAAGAGTGCTGAGAGAAGGAGACTGATAACCTTAATTAGGACTGCTCATCTTTAAGAGGTGAGTGAAAGAGAACCCAGCAAAAACAAACAAAATACACCTGAAAATGAACAGTCAAATGAGTATAGCCTCATGGAAGGCAAGAGATGAATCTGTAAGCTTCCTAAAGACACACAATGCAGACATTAAAATAATTTATGAAGATCAGATACTATGGGGAAATGCTAATGTTATGTTTAGAGAATACAAAAGGCATGTATCATATGATCCAATTTTTTTTAATGTGTATAAAAGGACCACAAGGAACTATATCAAAGTGTTGACAAGGACTGCCACCAGGGAGTAAATACAGAGAGAGAGAGGGAGAGAGAAATATATATATTTTCTACCATAAGTATGTATCGCTTTTGTAGTTAAAGAAAAAAGTATTCTTAACTCTTGTAAATCAGTGACACTCATAAAAGATATTTTTAAAGATTATGCAGTTTATCTACCTAGTTATTCTAGGTTTTTACCCTCAAATGAAGTTGAACCTCTAAAAAACAAAGTAACTGAATCACAAAATGCTGACTTGAAGAAAATGACATCATAGTTTCATTCGGCGTTATGTTCTTGGTAAAGAAACCCTGACAGAGAGCCTTATACAGGCTATTACTACACTGACTGTACCACACTGTTAAGGAATTACCCACTGTATCACTCAATAGCTTTGATATAGAGCTCCACATAAGAAATTTCTTTAGAGGTATTCAGAAAACCTTTTGTAATTCCCCAAATATTTGCTTCCCTTTGAGATCTATCTACCTTCCTATTTAAAAGATACAAAGATATGATGTCTCCTTTTTCCCTTTAGCTTCCAAGAAGCTTACAGCTAAAATCCCAGCTCAACTAGGTAGATTCCTGTGTCCTATTTCCCCATACACACACACACTCCACACTCCCTAAGACCTCCACTCTCATTGCTATTTTCCCTGATTTGCAATTTGAATATCTCATTTGTATTCTCACCATTTTATTACTACATGTTTTTTGTTTTAGTTTCTTTTTGGTGAGGAAGATTCGCCCTGAGCTAACATCCATTGCCAATCCTCCTCTTTTTTTTCTCTCTCTTTTGTTTGAGGAAGATGAGCCCTGAGCCTAACATCTGTGCCAATCTTCCCCCACTTTGTATGTGGGATGCCTCCACAGCAGGGCTGATGGGTGGAGTAGGTCCGTCCAGGATCCAAATCTGCAAACCTGGGGTGCCCAAGCACAGCACACAGAACTCCAACCACTGGGCCATGGGGCCGGCCCCATGGTAGTACATGTTTTTGTTGTAAGCTGACAAATAGTATTTGTAATAAGTGAGATAAAAATATTATTTGTATCCACATTAAGTTTAAGCATCACAAGAAATGATGCATACCAATATATGGTCCAAAGCTTTGTTTAAGAAAAAAAGAAAACTTTAAACTAGAATCATGCTTTTCAAAGGTACTTCAAGCATAGGCAGTGGTGTGCCAGGGGCTTCAATAACCAAAAGAGAGACGTGATGCACACATTTTACTACACAGTAGTTTAAAATACTGTTTTGCTTTTAAATATACACCAATTAAAAGTTAAATGAAAACTGCTTGGGACTTTTTTAAGACAACTAGACTTTCAAGAAATTTCATTCTTGCCTGGAGCTGCTTCAGAATATACTCTCAGATTTACCAGCTCTCTTCCCAGCCCTACCACACTCCCAGCTCCCCCAGGAGTTTACACTGCTCTTAAGTTAGGGGTGTTTTTGGTAGAAGAGTTTGAAATGTAGGAATCTAGACAGTACTATATAGAAACATTCGCAGTTACATTTAATATCGTTAGCAATAGTTACCAACAGGATTATCAATAAACAATAAAATAGAAAATCTGGAATCCTGCCAGACCAGGAGCCTGGCTACCTAGACTCTCTAGTCTACTAGAAAGCTCTAAGAGGCCACAGAGATTGATTTTTGTTTTGTATATATTTTTTTTGCTTTTTCTCCCCAAATCCCCCCCAGTAGATAGTTGTATACTTTTAGTTGTGGGTTCTTCTACTTGTGGCATGTGGGATGTCGCCTCAATATGGCCTGATGAGCGGTGCCATGTCCGCGCCCAGGATCCGAACAGGCAAAACCCTGGGCCGCCGAAGCGGAGCACCCATACTTAACCACTCGGCCACGGGGCCGGCCCCTGTATATTTTTTTTAATGTTTGAGTTTCTTGTACATTACTAGTATTAACAGGAAGTATGTAGTACTAAAATTCCTCTCAAATTCTTAAGAGTAATAAAAATTGTGTAAAAGCCGCAAGCATTTGGAATATATATATTTTTTCTGAATTCCTAATTTGATTATAAAATACCAAGTTACCTTATAAAGGTATTTTTTGCTAAAATCTTTAACTATCTGTAATGCCATCTGTACTTTTTACTCACATAAACCATTCCCAATCTCTACACACATATATGTGCCAAACTTTTAGTGATATTAGCTCCTTATGGATATCATCACTTTATCACTAAGGAGAAATACTTTTTATATTACCATCCCTGTTCATTATCATCATCACAGGGACCTGTTTCTTTTAAATTGGAAATTGTGAAGAGAAACACACCCCTAATCTCCTGAAACTGGGAAAGGTAAAGAATCTGCCTGTAAAATTTAAAAGTATGCACATGGAGACAGGTAACAATGGACGGTAAAGTATCAAAATGATCACTTTTAAATGTCACCATTAAACAAATTAAATTCTATGCAAACCATCTGCCCTAAACTCACCGAGTCGTCAGTTCAACATATCCTTAGGTTCCTACTGTGTGCCAGGCACCCTGTTAGGCACTGAAGATTTCAGTATGATTAAGCCAGACTTTAAAGGACTACTCTAAGCCAGAGTTTAAAATCCAGTGGGGATACACTTCCCTAGCACTTATCCATTTAGTTTCATTCAAAAACAAAAAAATATCTGCTCTCTAGGAACTCATAACGCACACACATTTCTATTAAAAACTGTACTTTCCTAATGGGGGCAATAAAAACAGAAAACAGGCTTTAGATCAGGACAAATAATTTAACTTATTCTGTGGACATAAATCAGTTTTACCATTTGGTCCTGACATGTGAACAGACTATTACAGTACCAAATAAAACTGGTTACAAGTGTGTTATCTTAAGGAATTCTGAAATGTGAAAAAGTCTTTGCTATAGACTGCAACTCATCAGCAGTTACTTTTAAGCATTTTAGGCCAAGGAGAACTAATTCCTGTCCAGAACAATAATATCATAGATATAGCAGCTGGCAAATACATTGAGCAAGGATTAGTAACAACATCATTCCCTAGAGGGTAATTTCTTCCAATAATAGAAATAAGTAAACAAATGCCTCTTAGGAACATTTTTTTTAAAAAAAAAGAAAACAGATGAATCAAGGCTGTTTGTGGATATTTGTAACATTTTATAAATAAAGATTTCATTAATAATGAAAAAAAGTCTGAAAACAGCATAAAAATTTGCCTATGGCTAAACACCCCTCTGTGTACCAAAGGAAGTTAAAAGCACTAACACACTGCATAAAGCCTAGCTTCAAAATGCTGTGCACAACAATCGACCTTCAAAGCCACTTCAGAAACCTGTTATTAAACAGTAAGTGCCAATTTCCCTATAAGGAAAAGACTATAAATGAATTACCTAAGTTTTTCTATATATTCTATATATAGGAACTTTGCCACATCCTCAACTCCAATGTTTTACAATCTTTGCAAAAACTACAAGGAGTTTCAAAAATACATTTATGCACAGCTTTAACACACATACGCCAACAAGCAGTGTATACAAAAACACCAGCTTACTGTTTTTAGTAAGCTTCTCTAGTTAACCAACTATCCTGAACAGGCTGCTTTTAAAAATGGCCCCTGCCCATTAAATCAACAGCAAACAGACTACAAGAAATGCACTGAACCTGACAGGGAAGAAAAAGTAATCTGCCAGTGACCACCTAGTGACAAGTAACAACCAACAGTATCAAAATGGCAATTTTTAAATGTTGTCCTTAAACAAAACATTAAGAAGAATTACAGTAAGCTATCAAACCAGATAACCAGTACACGAGTCCTCTTCGCTAAATTACACCTCATTAGTTCAACAGATATTTGTGTTCCTACTATAAGTCAGACACTGTTAGGCGCTGAGGTTTCAGCCTGAACAAGCATGTAAATGCCCTACTCTGAAGGTGTTTATATAAAATCCAGCGAGATAGCTTCAGGAAGTGGCCAAACAGCAAATGCACAACGACTGAAACAAAGAAAGGTAAAGGTTCTCCTGGAGTTAAAAAAAAAAAATCAAACATACACAAGAACCACTTAAACCTCGCTAACGATGTTCTCTACGTTTTTAGTGAACTTGGTTTCTGGTACATCTATTATAACAAAGACTAAAGAAATGAAAAGGGGAAAAAAATCAAAACAGGATGTATATGGGCTTATTAACTGTTACTTTCCTTTCTTTAAAAAAGCAGGCGTGAACACACACACGCACACATATACCTGTTGACGTAAAATCAGTCTTCCTAGGGAGCCCTTGAGAGCATCCACACCAGAGGAAGTTTTAAAGGTTAAACAATAGTATATAGCAAACAATTATAGATAGTAAAGTACTGTCATTTGGAATTAGCACAAGTGTTATAATAATAAGGACATAAGAAATACGAACTCTCCCTTTTCCCTAGGTGTTTCTAAACCTTTCCCGGCCACCTCTTCTCCCCCCACTGATCGCTTTAGGCACTAGCAAGTCTCTTTTTTTTTTCTTTCTTTAGCAGAGGGAGTGACGTGGCAGGAGAGGCAGAAAATGACCCCGGAGGAGCCGTGGCTAGGGCTGAGCGAGCACCTCCTCCCTCCGCTCCACGTTGTACACCAGCACACCCCCATTCCCATAGGGTTCCAGAATTTCTATGTCTTCTTACACAGAAGAGGCGATGCGTCTTCAGGAGAGGGGATCTGACGGCAAGTGGGAGCTGGGGGACCAGTCTTGAAGCTGCGTGTGCAGAGCAGGCACGGTGTTTATCTAGACTCGGGAGGCAGTGATGGCCCTGATGGGTGCTCCAGCGGTCGCCAGTCACCCCCTGGCGCCGCCAGCGCCTCTCTCCATTCCCACACTTTCAGCTTTAGGTTAGGCGTGGGGGTAGAGCTTTCCTACCTGGGAAGAGCACTGGGAATGCCCACTGGGGACCAAGGCTTGTGTGCCTGAACCCAAGAGAGTGGCCTGTCAACAGGTCAGGAGTTAGGGGGGCGAAGCAGCCCAGCACAGAGCCTCTCTGCCGCATCCCTCTCCCCTCCCAGGCTGCTGACGCCCTCCCACCCACATCCCCCAGCGTGACCCCCGAGGAGCTCAGAAATCAGGCGGAGGCTTCGAAGGAGAGCCCCCAATCTCAAACCACGGCGAGGGAGTCAGGGCCACGTAGAGAGGAGAAACCCCGCTAGCGAACCCCCACCCGCCCCCAACATCTTCCCGCCCCTCCCCCTTTCCCACTCAGTTCCCCCCAGAAGAGCCGCTCGGGGCAGCCAGGCCCGGGGAGGGGGGCGGCGAGGTGCAGGAGAGCCAACGGAAGAAGGCGACAGAGCGGAGGGCAGGAAGCCGGGACGGCGCCCCCCACCCTCGCAGCCCGACTCACTCACTGCCGGGGTCGCGGGCCGGCGCCCGAGGCCGGGGCCGGGGCCGGGGCCTGGCGGAGGGAGCGCACAGCACGGAGGAGGGCCGAGGCGGCCTGCGCAGCTGACACGGCCGCGGGCGGTTGCGGGCTCCGAAAGCGGCCCCCTCAAGCTGTGGAGCCAGAAGACTCAGTCGGCTGCGGCCTCTGGCTGCGGACGTGGCGCCCGACGCGACCCGCCCCCTCCGCCGCCTCCTCGGCTCCCGCCTCCTCCCGCAGCTCCGGCTCAGACGCGCACGCGCACCCGGGCCCCTCCCGCGCCCACCCGGCACACGCCCACCCGTTTTTCGAACTGCCCAACCCTCCCAGCAGCCCCCTATCTGCCTCCTCCCGTCGTGCGCACGCGCGACCCCCACCCCCCAGCAACTC